AAACATTTGCTGTGTTAAAAGAGTTTGTTCACTTGTTTTGATTACTCACTCCATCAAAATGGTGATTTAGATGTTTCCCTAAAGTATGTCAAAATGAATAACCACAAAACATTTTTGAGAAAGGAGATTGTCACCTCAAGTCTAAATATACTATATATAAAGAAATATATCAACAAAATTGTATTTGAATGTTACACAGTTACAAAATTCATTTTTCTTTAAAGCGTATAATTTTTACCATTATTGTGCTGCCATATACCTCTTTTATAATGTGTTTAGACTAATGACATTTATGGCAAGCAAATAATCTTAACAGCACTGAATGTTTCATCAGAACAAACATAGTGTAAAAATTCCACATTGTTCTCACACAAATGTTTCTGTCACTTTTCCAAGCAACGCACAGTAATACTTTTGTTTCCAAGAACACTAAATATATGTGTGTATATATAGCGTCCTCTACAACACGCACTGTTGCACTGCTTCACTTTTTAAATGCATGTGCTTTAAATATTTTTCTAGGAGTCCAGCATACTGATTTTTCTTTTATGAAAAACACCCAAAGTTTTCAACTAAAAACATATTACAAATACTTGCCCAGAGCAAGATTTTACAACCAAATTATAAAAGCCCTAAATCTCAAGTTTTATAATACCATCAGTGACAGAGTCGTAACTGCAGCGACGAGACAGGCGCCGCTATAATGTTAACAGGCAGTATGTAAACACTAATGCAGCCTAAGGGGGGAGCAGGGGCAACCCCAGAAATGTCCCTTCACAAGTGCCACAGAAAATTTAGGTGGCTGTAGCTGAACTTTCTCTAGCTTAATTAGTTACAAAAGGCAGGGGGAAAAAATCCAAAACAGCCAGGGAAAAAGACAATTTAATTGAAACTGGAATTGTGTCCCCTCTTAAAGCTTTATAGTTACTGAAATTCATTTATACATTATTTCTTGAGCAGGAGTCCAGTAAAATGAAGTTTGCCATTCAGCTACTAGCAAAACACAACTAAAAGTGGTTTTGAAATATCAGCACATTTACAAAACACTTAAGAGTACCCAATTTTCTCCTGGAAAGTAATCACAGAGGATTTAAATACAGGCTCTCCACCAAGCTATGGTACTTCTTTGTCTTAGAAGTCAGCAAGGTACTGATCTAATCAGATTTCCAGTAACAGGCTGGCTTCAGCCAAGTCCCAAATCACGTTTCAACAGTTGATTCACAACAATTTTAACAAGTATATTCAGTTACTTCCTTGCTTTCTATCAGTTTCAGTACTTCTAGACTGAGGCAGTGCCAGGTCTTCGGCTCCAAGCCACATATCTCCTCCTTACTATATGTTAAATTCTTGGTGATAACATTTAATAGATGTTGAAAGAAATGACAAGAGACTGTAACTTGGAATTAAAAACAGAAGCCAAAAGATGTAAACAAAGTATGTTTTTTAAAAAATTATAAATAAAATTGCTTCTTATCATCAGTTGGAAACAACACCTGTAGGAGCTAACAAGGATTGTATGGTTAAACAATTCCATACAAAGGTTAATAAAATGAATGTAATGATTTCCTAAGGAAGCTCAATAAAATTAAAAGAACTGAATCATCTCTACTTTTGTAGAGACAATTAACATAGCCTTTAGTGTCTAATAGTACAAAACTCAATTCTGGGACAAAAGAATTGCACACTTTAACAGATGTAAAACAGGTGAAACTGCAAAAAACATTTTATTCTTTTAAGTATAATCCTGCAACTAATCATGCAACCGCCCCTATTAGAAGCTTGCTTATTATTATTTAGCCATACCTATTATGACAATATAAACATGAAGAATTACTAAAATATTGACAATTAAAACAAATTAGAGCCTGTAAAAATGCTTCCTCCTAACCCTAACAGGCAATCCACAAAGCTTGAGAGCACCAGAAAAAGTGAAAAATTCTTAGCTCATCCCACTGGAGTAAGGAACAAAAGGCATAGAATATGTGCTTGCAATGTGTAGATTCATAATCTCCATGTTTACCAAATCCAATTCTTACCCAAGAAATAATTTTTATCAAAACATTACTTAATCATAATAATGTGACCAGTTCTCTTCCAATAATCTCACAGAACATTTATGGATACGTATACAAAAAAGTTAAGAAGTGTTTTTATTCCTTGGCCCTTCCCACAGATCCTGATAAACTAGTTTTCTTAGACAGGACAACTATATTTTATGGTCACCACATACAACACACATGTACATATTAATGCACCATGTATATCTTTATAGACCTGTAGGAGAATAATACAGTGCAGAGCATTCCCTGAGTCTGTTTGAAGTTTCTGTGGAATGTCACCTACCCTTCTCATTGCCAGTGTCCTGCAAATCTGTAATTACACATAACACAGATAAAATCTACAATCAAACTAATTCTGTAACACATTAGAAAACATGCTCCTCCTCAAATTATAATGCACCTAGCCAAGCTAACAATCTCTTTTTCCCATTCTTCCATATTAATTGATGGAAGAAGGCTGGCACACATGAACAGCAACACTTGGAAGAAAATCTGATTTATAAGCCTCCTGTTCCCAAGTTTAGGACTGACAAGGACACTGGACAAGCAAATGCCAGTGAGGTACTTAAAATAGGATATCCACTTGGGAAGAGATTAAGTGATTAAGTTCAATGTTACTGCCAGCTGCTAGTAGCAATTTGGAGGGCTAGAGATAGGTTTATGAACTTAAATCAGGACTTTTTCCCACTTCCCTGATTTTTCACTACAATTTGTTCTAAGCTGCTCAGCAAATAACTGAAAATGCCCCTGTGTCTCCATGTGAAACATCAGTTTCCTA